GTGGTACCCGCGTACGGGCCCGCCAAAATTTTTTTCGGGTAAGTTCATAACTCGGGGATCTGAGAAACTGGAACGCTGAAATCCTAGGGCAATGTTCTCCGCCCAAATATGTATTTGAGTTCAAACCCTGCCCGCGGGTTAGCGTGATACCAACGTACGGGCTCTTGAAAGTTTCTTTCGGGAAAGTTGCTAACTCGGGAAGGTGAGAAGCTAGAAGATTGGGATTTTGAAGGGATTTTTCCTGACAGTCCTGGCGGCCAGTCTGAAATTCTTTTAATTGAAAGCATCTGCCAGAAAAACCAGTGCCGTTAGCGGCAAAAATCTGCGGGGAGCCATGCAAAAAGCGCATCTTCGCAATGGCAGCCCGTGCGTCGGCCAATTATTTTTCACGCTCTCACATAATTTCCAAGATACTCCTGTGATGCGTGAATGGCAATGGGCTAGGTAATGCTGAGGAATAGTGAGGCAGAAATTCTGGCTACTTCAAGCATGTCGAGAAAACATTTTTATCAAGAAATTTTTAGCTCAAATTCCTCCACAGCCGATCGTAACAACCAACAGTGCATGCCTAAATGATTGTCTCCAACATGGATCGCTTGTATTTGCGGCCGCCAATCTTCGTAACTTCCAGAAAATCATCCTCAACATCGATCAATTTTGCGAGTTAGTTCCTTTTTTTACAGTCAAAACTACTGCAATCTGCAGTCTGCACTTAAAATACCCGCCCAGTGTGCGTCAATTTATGCCAAAAAGCCCCGCATTGTACACGCCAGGACAACTATTGGAACTCGGCTCGGCTCGGCTTCGGTTGACGTACTGGTTGAGGAAGTTGAGGAGCACTAAGTTGCGTGGATTTTGGGGGTGATAGGAGGGAGAGCGGCGGTGTGATCCGGGATTCGGTCGTAAGGGCTCGAACAGGTGATGAGCTGGAATAGGCAAATATTTGAAACCAATCTCGGCGAAGCAATATGCAGTCATTTGTGGGTTTATTGGCTGGATAACGCAGGTTTGGGGGTGATACAAAAAGTGTGGTACAAAAACGCTTGATCGCACCAGCGAGGCTGGTACATTCCATCCTGGATTTAGTAATTGCCCAAATTCTCATACTGTAATGCAGGCAAACCGAGCTGAGCCGGGTTTGGTGATTGCTCACGCAGTTTGCTGTTCCACCTGGGCCTTCATTTCTTCCCATTGTTTTGTAGATCCTGTTTTCTTCCGATTTTCCCCACTCAATGGTCTCTTTCACTCCCATGTTTTATTACATCACTGAGAGTTGCCTATCGGTAGACGTAATTGATGAATTAATTTAAAGAAGTGCACTGGGATGTCCTCGTCAAGTATCCCTCCCTCAACATTCCTTCTGTACCTTGCTTCCAGTACCACTGTTTTCTTATTTTCCCTCCTCCTGCACGCCTTTCACTCCTTATCCACCTGTTCTTCCAGCCTCATTTCCCTTTTCGCTCTTTTCCCTAAAAAACGCTGCAGAAATAAATGCCAGTTGCGAAAAAACGTCCAAAAATACAAAACATTTAAAATGAATTAAAAGATTGACATGTTTTTGTGATCAGAGAAATAGGGAAAAATGTGTAAACACGCAAACTCCATGGATTTTTGTGAAATACGGTCCTAATTTCTCCCACATTTCATTTCTACGAAAAAGTAGGTTTTTGTGTAAACATTAAAACCATCAAAACCATTCGGACAGTTGGTGTGGATATTCCATGCTAGTGATGTTACTCGTTTACCTCCATAAATGGAGTCAGCTATGCGAGTTACTTGAAGCATACTTTCAACCAGTACTAACCACTTGTTAGATATATGTGCGCCATCTCTTACAAGGCGTCCAAGCAGCCGTTTATTTTCTTGCTCGCACCGCATGCTGAAACAGATACCCGGAGAGGGAGGAACTCCTGCGTGTTGTACTAGCAAGAGGGTTTTCATGTAAAACCCCTTTTCTCTCCTTAAATGAATACTGTACTTTGTTACATACTGTTAAGTTGAAATCTGAACAAAGAACGTTGTCGTTACAGCACCCATGAGCAGCTAGTGAAGTGTGCGCAATCGTGCAGCGATGAGGAGCAACAGAATCTGGCTCAGAGGATCGTACTCAGCGCTTACATTTGCAAGGATAAATTGGAAGGTAATTTGCTTTTAGAGGGAAGAAAAGGGGAAAAATGGGGAGAAAAGCGTAATCGAACAGGGCGGGTAAGTAGAAGGAGATACCGTAGCACCCCCAGTAAGTTTGTCAAAACAGCAGCTTCTTGTCGAGACTCGGTACCAGCCTTGGTAAATCTGGCAAATTTTCTGGTTCATTTCAAAGCTTGGTACAAATTCAGGTAAATTAACCAAATTCCTAACAAAGTTTGGTACCTCCTCATACTGGGATATCGTTTTGTTCGAAAACTTCACCAATAACTGCATGATTTTTTTTGCAGAATTTCGGTTGGCGAAAGAATGTGTTGAAAGTCAGGAGACGGATTACGTAAATCAGTGCGCCAACGATTGCGGCCATCCAGCATCAGCAACAATTCAGCTCGACTCGTCACCGTCCGCAGCCGTCAATCCATTCGCTTTCTTTGATAGTATCACTCCAGTATGCCGGTCAGTACATCCGTATCAGTGTATGTTACCTAAAAAAACCAAACCAGTGATCAAAAAAGAAACTATATTATTTTAATAGCAAAACCATTCGAGCAATACTGGATTGCTTCCACGTGCTGGGCACAGTTATGCCAGACCCTGCGGTTCTGGGGTGAAATCTTCTAAGTATGGAGCGATGCGAAATATACGCTAGAAAGCAAAACTTGAAGAGCAGCGTGGGATCAGACAATACCACAGTAACAGGGCTGTGTTTACGCAAAACGAACTAAACTTCATGATAATTAGCAGTTAACGGGCTAGTGGGAAGCCTACTTGTTATGCGTTTTTTGCAGCAATGCAATGCGAAAAACGCATATTGACGAGAGGTTGTCTGTG